ATAATGCCTGTTATCTCGGTAACGGAAAAGACCTGACAAGAGATATTTTCGAATTAGTCATGTCCTTATGCTAATAAGTAACTTGCAAAAAAGATTTTTCTTCAACTCGTCTGCAAAAAAACTGCAGCCAAATCTATTTCGACTTCATATGTACCCATTCTAGTACAATCTGTTTCTTTATTAGATTTTAGCAGGTGTTAATATAGCTTATTTAAAGTTTTAGTTTTTTAGGCTAAAGAATTGTTAATACATGATAAATCCTTTTCATTTATTAAAGTTAAGTTCTTGATCGTTTTTTTTTTTGCTATTGTAGTAATGTTTTCTTTTATTAATTTTTATATATTGGTTAAATTTAATAGTAAAAATATAATTTTTATGTTATTATTATTTATGTTAATGATAGTGGTTTGATTTAAAGATGTGAATCGTGAGAGAGAGAGATGGGTATAGATCATTCTAGGTTTAATGATAAATTTTTTAGTTTAGGAATGATTTTATTTGTTTTATCTGAGGTTATATTTTTTGTATCATTTTTTTGATGTTATTTTGATTTCGTTTTTTCTGTTGATATAGAGTTGGGAGGGGTTTGACTCCCTAAGGGAATTGGTAGCATTAATCCTTTGAGAGTCCCATTGTTGAATACTTTAATTCTTTTATCTTCTGGTGTAACTATTACATGAACTCATTTTAGGATTTTGAGGAATAACTGGTTTAAGAGTGTTGTTAGGTTGTTTATTACATTAGTTTTGGGGGTGTATTTTTTAGTAGTTCAAGTTGGGGAATATGCAGAGGCTTCGTTTAATTTTATGAGAAGGGGGTATGGGAGGGTGCTGTTTTTGGCCACTGGGTTTCATGGTTTTCATGTTTTGTTAGGTTGTTTTATAATTTTAGCTAGCTTAGTTCGAATGTTGGTATTATCTATGGAGGCCTGAGTTCATTATGGATTTGAGTTTTCTGCTTGGTATTGACATTTTGTTGATGTTGTTTGATTATTTTTGTTTGTGTTTATTTATTGATGAGGTAAGTAATGTGAATCTTATTATCATATTTTATTATTTCTATTATTATACCCTTAGTTTTATTAGTATTGTTTGAGTTAGGAATGTTAAAATTTTATTATGGTAAGGAATCTACTGTATTTGAGTGTGATTTTGATTCTTATAATGTTAGTTTAATTCCGATTTCTTTACGTTTTTATGTATTTTGTATTTTATTTTTAATTTTAGATTTGGAGCTAGTTATTGTTAGTTGTGTGCCTTTATTATTATTCATAGATATAATTGTTATTAATTTTGTTTTATTTTTTATTTTAGTGACTATTAGTTTAATAATGGACTGGTTAGTAGGAACTTTAAGGTGGGTAGAGTAGATCAAAGCGAGGCGTTAGCACCCCATAATTTACAATTTATTTAAAAACTATGCAACAAATCTTTGATTTGTTTTTTTCGCCGTAGCGTTTATTATCATATTTGGTTGTCTGAAATCGCAATTTTCGGCTTATAAATATTGGCATTTATTAGTAAAGTTTCTATCTTTATTTTAGAAATGTTTTCCTCCTGACAAATCTATTGAAAAGTATTACGATGGTTTAATTTATTATAGTTAAGTTTTTTTATGAGGAGGAAGAAGTCGAATTAAATGAAAGATATAAAATCATTGCATGAAAAACAAAAAAAAATATGTTCATCGAGTTGAAGAAAATTTTAGAGATTGACAATTCTATGAAGAATTTTCGCTGGATGGATGTTGAATTTTTTTTAGGATTTTTAATATTTTTCACATGGTTTTACTATCTACCGTGGCTTTCCAGACTCGATGATCTTACCAAAAAAAAAAAGATATTAGTCATTTCCTTAACTAGAGTGTCCTAGCGATTCATAAGATAAGAATCTGTCCAATGTTTAAATCTTTGGAGATCCTATTATCTCAACTTAATTTTTCATCGAAGGGCTACTACTATGTGGAGGTTCAATAAAACAAGGCTAGGATCACTGGTGTTATGCCTTGTAGCCCTACCTTTGTCTTTTCTGTTTACTTCCATGCATAAGAGGAGCCAATTGCTCGAGTTACGCTGGAAAATTAATCTAAAACATCTTGTAAACGTGAAACTTTAACGTAGGGGTGGCCAAGTAAAGGCTGCGATTCAAGAAAAGTGTATGTCTTACTTAAAAGGAGAAAATACAATAAATTGAATTGCAGATCTTATCAATTTGTTAGTATACTTATCATTGTTTCAACCCTTTTCGGTTCTATTTTTCTTTGAGTTTTAATCATCTATTTCGCAACGTCTTCCATAAAAAACCAGTGGCTGCTTCTTCAAACTTCGATTTTCCCTTAAAAATTCCCCCCTATCTTTTCTTATTGGTGACTTCTTAAGGGAAAATCCAAGTTTGAAGCACGGCGTGACTGTGGTTTTTATTTTTTTTGTGAGTTAAAAACCCATCGTTATCTTAAATCCTATATTTACCCTATTTATTTACGTTTTTAACTCCCTATTTTTTGTTATAGGTATTTAAGAGGGAGAAAAAAGTGGATATAAATAAATCCCCAAGGTCAGCCATGCCAGTTATCCACTGGAATATTTTGGTAACTTTCAGCCTCTTTGAAGCCATTCGTAAATCGACTGCAGTTGGAGGAAAAAGCGTTATGGCCATTGGATTTTCTGACAAGATCAGTTTGTAGAGAATTTCACGAGCTATCCAACAGCATTCTTTTGGAAAATATATAGTTTTTCATTAAGACAGAAAAGTGAATACTTATGCCGACCGTATACTTCGACTTTGGTCTCAAAACTTTCTGTAACAAATTTGCTTATCCCAAACTTTTGACGGTGATTCCAGATAGTACACTGAGAGTACTATGTACCGCAAGCAGTCCGACTTCAACATAAGTCCATAATAACGAGATCGCTCACAAAAGTGATCCATGAAGCTCCGTTTCGGTCGTTTTGTAATGTATGGGGTATTTACGAATGGCTTCAAAGGGGGCTGAAAGTTACCAAAATATTCCAGTGAATAACTGCCATGGCTAGCCGGCAAATATCTTACTTTTCCTCGGAATTCTTCGCTCTATCAGGCCATATGGTTCTTCTTGATTATGACACACTGTGCTGTATATATAGCACTCAAACGCTTCTTTTGCATATCTCTATTACTGACTCCATTTGTCTAGATTTTCTGACAAGTTTCACGGGCTAAATTTCACGGGCTATCCAACAGTATTCTTTTGGAAAATATATAGTTTTTCATTAAGACAGAAAAGTGAATGCTTATGCCGACCGTATACTTCGACTTTGGTCTCAAAACTTTCTGTAACAAATTTGCTTATCCCAAACTTTTGACGGTGATTCCAGATAGTACACTGAGAGTACTATGTACTGCAAGCAGTCCGACTTCGAATAATCAAAAAGTTATCTCCAGAAAGTGGCAAGGCATCTACGTTCGACACTTTGACAATTTGAATAAATGCGAAAGGGACAGAACTTGAAAACAATAGAGCACTAGCAAATAAGGAGATATCTCTTTTCGCACATGCATATCTTTCTGTTCTCTTTCGTTTCAATCGACGCGCTGAGACAAAAAAATGTTGGCACATGAGATATCGTATGTGAAAAGAGATATCTCCTTATTTGCTAGTGCTCTAATGTAACTATTTTAGACAGAAAAGGCAAGGTATATCTTTTCTTTTTGAAAGAACCCATATGAATATATAAACATGTCTGCGAAATACAAACAAAAACATGTGCCGAGAGTTTATAGTTCGCAAACTAATACACAATAACAGGTTAAGCTGTACTCACAGAATTTAATTTTGAATAATGAGATATAATTGACTTCTCTTGGCCCTATTTTACTTTGTTTCCCGACCTCCTCTCGTTTTTATACTTTCCGAAATGATTGTTTCAGCCTGGATTCGATGTTCCTCCTTAGGGTAATCTCTGAAAGTTATCGATCATTCCTAATCTCGTCACAATGTTTATTTTTACGCATAACTTCTCGAACTTTACTCCAGTCGAAAAAATTTCATATCTGCGGAACGAAAAGTTCGGGAAGCCTACAAATTTGGATTTGTAAGTTTTCGTCCATGCTCTACAAGATGAGGCTACTTAGAAAAAAATCTGAAATAGTCATTGAGCTTGGCTTGTCGTGGCTTATGTGCAATGGCTCCTGGGTGCCCACCGTACGAAGTAAAATATTCAAAAACCGATACATACTTTTTTAGTGTCGATAAGACGAGTCTAATGATATAAAAATATTGGATTCAACTCATATCTGAAAAGACTTGAAGCTTTTGGCAGATACGGAAGCGGGATTTTCGCTATTGGTAAAAAATCAAAAATTTTTAGGCGAAATAATATTTGAATAGCATCAAAACGATATTTTTTAGATTCAGTTTTTTCACGTAGAACAAGAATGAAACTTTCAAAGTTTCCAAAAACATTGTGTTAAAGATGTACGCTTGTTCTTAAAAAATAAGCCGTTGTTTCCAGTTTTGAAGATTTCAGTTTTTTAAAATTTCTTAAGATTCTTATATAAGAAACTGATAAGATTCTTCTTCTTTTTCTTCTTCTTGTGGTCAAGACGTAAAAACGTCGTCGTAACTTTATACTTAGTACATAGTCACTATTGTTTTGTCCTTTCTTTTCCCTTGTACAATTATGTCAAGTGTAGAAAATAATGCAAAAGATCAAGCAAATGATTATATTAAATCTCTGGGTATTGATGTTGAAAAATTAGTGACAGATTTGATTCAATTACCTGAATTGGCTACCGGGTTAGCAGGTATTGTAAAAAAAAGTCTAATTCCACTATTTGAACGGGTGTCGAGTTTGGAAAACGACGTGCATGAGCTTAGAATGGAGAATAACCGTCTTCAGCAATATGACAGACGAACAAACCTCAGATTTTTTGGAATTAAAGAAGGCGCCAGTGGCGAATCTACAGATCAAATAATTATTCAGCTAGCTAAAGATATTGGTGTCGATATTTCCCAGCACGATATTAGTGTAAGCCATCGTAGAGAACGGCAAAAAAACGAACAGAACACAAAACCACGTGGAATAATCGTTCGTTTTGTACATTATCGTACGTGATAGTTGTTGTTGAAACATAGAAGAAAATTGAATGATTTACATCCTACAGTTTCAATTAACGAAGATCTTACTCCATACAACTTGGAAATATTGAAATAAGCAAGAAATAAGTTAAACAAGAAACACGTTTATACTGTCAATGGTCGTGTATGTTATCGATTAGGGATGGATATTAGAACTGAAATACGTTACTTATCTACTGTGAATAAGCTAGCTAATGGCGGTTTAGAATTGTATAAATACACTTGTGATAAAATTGATCCTAATTTGGTATATGTATTCGATGGTTTGGTCACAATTAAACTCGATGATGGACCATATAAACACTTGGAAAAGAAAGGTGATATTGATGCTATGATGAATCATGGTTGACATGTACGATTTACATGAATGAAGACTCCTATTTTGACTGATTGGTATGTCTTAACATTGGATTTTTTAGAGCTTATGTTTCTTGAGGGCTGGAGTTTGCGATGTGTCTGTCTGTCTGGGTGTTTCTGTTGCATTAATTATGACACAGGTTAAGATTAATGAAAGGCATCGGGCCGAAGAACTTAGAGTACTCATTTTAAATACTAATAGTATATTGGCTAAAATAGCCCCTGACGATAAAGCTTCCAGCTTAACTAAGTTTGATCTATTACAATCTTACATGCTCTCAAATAAACCCATAGCTGTTGCAGTTTGGGAAACTTGGCTAAGCCCATCTACAAGTGACAATGTGTTAACTATATCCGGCTATCAGGTCCCGTTTCGTAAAGATAGGCCATCACATGCTGGAGGAGTTATGGTTTATGTTCGGAATGGTATTAAGGTGGTCAGACACCACAATTTAGAAGATCCAGTTGCTGAGACGTGTTTTTTAACGCTTCATCTTCCAGCTGGTAAGTCAATCCTGTTTGGAGCATGTTATAAATCTAAATTACAAATTGATACGGACGTTTTTACTGATCATTTGTCCGATGTACTGCAGAAGGTGCGCCTTGATTCCAAATTACCGCATGACTCGATCGCATTAGTGGGGGATTTTAATGCTCACTGTATGCATTGGTGTCCGACCAAGCCAAGCACAAGAGATGGTGTTAAGATGTTTGACTTTGCTACTAGAGAGGGTTTAGCGCAACTAATTTCTAAATCAACCCGTCCTAGCTCCAACACTTGTTTAGATTTGGTTTTTACAAATAACCCAGCCTCCATAAGTAACATCAATGTACTTCCATCGCTGTGTAGAACATGTGATCATTGCATGATCGAATTTTCACTATTTAATTATCGACAACCGTCCTTTTCGTATAAGCGCGTAATTTATGACTATAAGCACATAGATTGGGATAAGTACCGCAGTGCGCTTCCTGCTATTGACTGGCTTAAACTTTTAGACAATTATGCCACAATCTCTGATAAAGTTGAAGCATTTCAAAGCTCATTTCTTCAGTTATCGAATAAGCATGTTATCAATAAACTGGTTAAAATATCATCTCGGGACCAGCCTTGGTTCAGTGAGAAACTTCGTAAACTTCTTGCTAGAAAGCGTTTATTGTACAATAAATTTTCTTCTTCTAAAAGAGATGATGACTACGAAAGGTATAAGCTGTTTGAGAAATTTTTTGAGCGTGAATGCGTGATAGCTAAGAAATGTTATTATGACAGCTGTCAGCAGTCTCCAGCTGCTCTAAAAAATGGTGGTCCTTGCTCAAATACTCGTTGGGCAAAGCAAAACAGTCATCTATTCCACCGCTCTTTGATAGCACTACTGTCCGCATTGTAACTACGCCTGCAGAACGAGCTAATGTGCTAAATCGCCATTTTGCAGCTATTTGCACTGCTAATAAAGATTATATTCCACCACTACAAAACTCGCTGTTGCAGTCTACTATTGTAATGTCTGAGTTTTATATCTCTGTTCCTGAAGTCTATGAGTTTCTTTTAAGCGTTAACATTTATAAATCTACGTCTCCTGGCATATCAAACCGTTTATTGAAAGAAGCTGCACCCATAATTGCACCAGTCATTGCCTATTTATTTAATGAATCGTTACGGGTTAAAGAATTTCCCTCAGTTTGGAAGATAGCACACATTACAGCGTTATTTAAGTCAGACGATCCACAGTTACCTAACAACTATCGTCCCATTTCTCTCTTGGTAGCCCTATCAAAAATTTTTGAGCGAATTATTTATAAACATATACGGGGATTTCTTCGTACAAATAAGTTGATTTGTTCGAATCAGTCTGGCTTCTTACCTAAAGAGTCTTCAATAAATCAATTGGTTGCTATTATTGATTATATCGCTACGTCTCTTGACTCTGGTTATCCTGTGCTGGCTACATTTCTCGACTTCCGAAAAGCGTTTGATAAGGTTTCCCATCCTGCTTTGCTGCTAAAACTCCGTAGTAAAGGTTTACCTGTTACTCTAGTGGAATGGTTTAAGAGCTATTTAGCCAACAGGCAGATCATTACTAATGTTGATGGAGCTTCCTCCGATTTGCTACATGTGGTATATCCCAGGGCAGTGTCTTGGGACCATTGCTCTTCCTCATCTTCATTGATGATTTGCCTGTTGGTTTGCATACTGTGTGTAAACTATTTGCGAACGATGTGTCATTGTATTGCGTGGCTAAAGATATGCAGCAATCAGCTTTTCATTTAAATGAGGATCTGCAGCGTGTGTTCATATGGTCTGTGTTATGGGATCTTCCACTGAACATTTTAAAATATGTTTGCATGGTGTTTGGTAATTGCGCGTTACCTCCGCCATTATTGATCAATGGAGCACAATTAACTTATGTTGAAAAGCATGTTCACTTGGGTTTGATGTTAACATCTCATCTTAACTGGGCACCGCACATTGATTCTATTGTCGCCAGATGTGCGCCCTTTATAGGCTCTATGAAATTCTTGAGTAGGTGGACTTCTCGTCAGACACTCAATATGGTTTACTATTCTTTTGTATTTACTATCTTTAACTATGCTATTGTAATTTACGGAGGTACTTACGGCAAACACATTGAACATCTTTCTAGGATTCAGTATCAAGCAGCATTAGCTGTCATAGGAGCTATGCGAGGAACTCGTTCAGAGCTCTTGCGTGACTTATGTTGGCTTTCGATTAGAGAATTATATCGTGTTAGATGCTTATGTCTGTTTCAAAAGGTTATGTATGGCTTGACCCCGATTACTTGCGTGAACTTATTCCTCAGTGCAAGCCACGTTACGCTACACGTAATCAGAATAAAATTCCTGCTATTCGTAAAGGTATACATGCTCTAAATACGTCATTTATCAGGAGCGCGTCGCGGTTTTGGAATGAATTAACGCCTGACTTATGTTCTATCCCGAATCCGAAAAAATTTAAAACTAAATTGATATCCCAACTGTTGTCTAATCATGGTTATTTTAAACTTAAGCTACCTATAATACCTAATGAGCGCATTTTTGACATTGACTTTGCGAGATGTCGGCTGAGTTTTAGTCAGCTGAATGTTGATCTGTATGCACGCTCACTTGTACCGTCTCCTAACTGTGCTTGTGGATTCAGCGAAACTGTAGCCCATTTTTTCTTACATTGTTCGCTACACAATAAGGCTCGCACAGATTTATTTCATGTTATAACAAGAGTTTTAAATAACAACAAGATCACTATTGATCATATTTTATTACGCTATCTATGTATGGTTACCCTATCCGTATCACAACTGGGAGAAGTCTACTTAGCTATCATTCGATATATTAAATGTACCAGTCGTTTTCGGCCGCCTTGATGCTGTGTATTTCTTTTCCTTGCATCTCCACTATTCACCCTGGCAGACAGATTATATTCCACTCTCCTCCCTCGTTTCTGCTTAGATCATTCATTCAGATTAATTTACTGAATTGCATTCTTACTTTGTTCTTTCTTCTTGCTATATAGTATATTCATTACTGTTTTTATTTCGGTTATGGGCTTTTATATGTATTGTTTTAATGATTCTCTAATGCTTTTTCCTTATGATTTTCTCATGTTTTTTTCCTTTTTCTCTCTTTTACTTTGTCGCTTCACCTTATCTCAACATATAATGGGCTAGGCCCGCTTTGTTGTGTAAATTTGTTACGTAGTATTAAATAAACTGGTTTAGAAAAAAAAAAAAACTCAGTAAAAAACACCCGCGGCTACCTTCCGATAAACAATCGTTCGTTCATCAAGTATTTCACAGACATAAGGTTCTATATTGCTTTTCTGTTCAGCAATTTAAAAAAAAGTCCCCGGTGTAAACTGACGAGGAGTAAAAGCTGAGACGGCATGCTTCAGTAGATTGTTTCACTCTACTGCTGTTCGATAGAAAAACGGAAAGACAACACTAGCTTTTGAAAATAATGAGTGCTTTTACCGAACAAGAACAACTTTGATCTGATTGATAATTAGTCCATGTTTCAATGAAAAGTTGAATAGAATGGAGAATTGCTCGTGATTTTAAAGAAATGTGAAAGTCGATAATATCATCTTCCTTTTTGTGATCAGTCAAATTTTATTTGATTATCAGACGTTTGGGCGCGCGACACTAGCCCTAGATATCGATTCTCATATAAGAATCTTACCAGTGTCTTACAAGATTCTTATCGAAATCTTATTAGTTTCTTATATAAGATTGTTTAAGATTTCCTATCGACAGTCGTAAGTGTCTTATAAGAATCTTGTAAGATTTTCATAAGTGGTTCGCAAGAAATTCATAAGAAATACCAAAAATTCTTATGAACCTTTTCAGCCAATAGAAGCAAGTTAATCATAACAGAAATCACCAAAACCAACCCGTAAGCTGCCTTCTAGTAAATAAGAATAACATTAGAATTTTTGGTATTTCTTATGAATTTCTTACGAGTCAGTTATGAAAATCTTATAAGATTCTTATAAGACACTTACGACTGTCGATGGGAAATCTTAAACAATCTTATATATATTCCGATAAGAATCTTATCGGTTTCATCAAAAACACTATGTCTAGGGAGGGTACCGACATTTGGGAGCAACGACATTTGGACGTAACGACAGATAAATTAGAAAAAAAATACTGTCTCTTAGCAAATTCAGTGAAGCGATATTAAGGAAAGCGAGCAAAAATGTGCTTTATTCATTCTTTTTTCAGGCGTAAGAACGGATCATCATGAATATATGGATATACGTACTACTATCAATCATTTACATACAGCTTGTCGATACAAAAGCTCAGTGCCAACAACAACATGTCAGTGTAACGTTACCAACATCAGAGTTGACGCAGGTATATAAAATTGCTACATGGTTCTGTTATAAAGAGGGCTCAACTAATTTTAATAATAAAATTGTTCATTTAACTATTCATGGTCTGACATATGATCATATATATTGGAATTTTCCCTACGAATCGTCAACTTATTCTTACATTGACTACGTTATTAATAAGAGCAATGGTAATATTGTTGTACTGAATTTTGATCGTATTGGTATTGGCCTTAGTTCTCATCCTCCGACATACGATGTAACTATTGATTTGAATGCCAATGTCGTTTATCAGTTAACAGAGAAACTACATAATGGTCATTTTCAAGGTACAAAATTCACTAACATTATACTTGTTGGACATTCTCTAGGCACATTAATTTCATGGACAACAGCATCATCAGATTTTGCATATAATCAATATGTCAATGGTTTAATATCAACTGGTTGGTTACATACATTTAGTTCTATGGGAGCGATAAGTGTTATTTCATCAATGTATCCGGTACAATTAGATCCAAAATTTATGCAACAAAATTTACCACTAGGTTACTTAACTACACATCCTCATAGTAGACCACGTCAGGCTTTGTTTTATAATATCAATAATACTAATATCGAAACTGTTCATCAAGACGAACAATTAAAAGAAACAGGAACATTGGGTGAATTACTTACGTATCAATCCGCCAATGATCCATTAATTACATTAAAGATACCCAAGACTATTCCAATTCTGATTGTTATTGGGCAATATGATCAGTGTTTCTGTAATGTCACCTTAACGTGCGACAATTCATTGATAATTCAAGAACGCGAACAAGAGAATTTTGTGTCATCGATAGAGACGTATATTTTACAGGAAGCAGGTCATAGCATTAATTTACATTTAAATTCGCGTAATTGGTATCAAATAGCATCAGACTGGACACAAAAATATTTTCATACTAAACACGAATTGTGAGATGTGATACTTTTTGACGATATTTTATGGTGTGAAACGAAACACATATTGTCTATTCAATATACCTAACGGTTGGATTAGATTAAATGCGACACTTTTTTGTCTCGACTTTTTGCAACCTGTGAATAGTTTGAACCTTCACTCTAAGCTTAAAACAACCGGCATGTGTCTTTCTTCTCAATCATTTTGTATCGTATTTCTACAAAACTATGTACGTTCATTATCAAAGTAGACCTTGTTACTTGCTTCCACTGTGTTTCTTTCTTCACATGTTCTGTTTTGGAAGCTAAAGATTGATAACTATGAAAACGTTTTTTTAAACTTTCAGTTTTGTTCAACATAAACCGCTAAACCATTTTCATAGTGGACGTGCAGCTTGTTCATAGAACCCTATTGAGCTACAGAAAATGTTGCAATAGACGCTCTTTCTACACTTTTATTTTAATATCACTTTTTTCTCAGAAATACTTCAATATATTAATAATTGAATCATACTTCTATATTCATAGATCTAATGAACTTTGACGAGTAGGAGTGACAGAACAACAGCACCTTACATATAATAACCGTCTTGTTGGATATCGAATTAACATCGAGCATGTAACTGGAGATATTAAATTATACAAAGTTATGTCGTATGAAATTAGAAAACTCACAACTCGGTCAAAATCGATCCGTACTAAATATCAAGATGCACTCTACTTTTTCTGTTCGATCGAATTTCGTGCTTAAGATTACATAGTAAAAAATCTTCTCTTACTTCTGAAGGTTTCTAGAAAACCGTTTTCAAAAACCAAAGTATTCTCAGTTCGTTGTTAGATTCTTATGAACTCCATCATATAGTGTGGAAGAAATAGAGTACCTCTTGATATTCTGACGTAATTTGCATCGATTTTCACTGAGTTTTGAGTTTTCTACTTTTACGTGAAAATGGGCAAGAATGGGATATTTCATTTAATATAGAGCTTCAATAGGTTTTTAAATTTTTTTCGAAATCAAATGTTGCTACGAGACTCAGCGTAGTTAATTACTTATGTTTCTATTCATTTTCGAGATTATCATACCTAAGAAAATATTGATCGGTGGGCTTCGAGAAAATCTGATGCCGCGCCTAAATCATGATAAATTAAGAGGTCGCTTTATTACGGTTTTAAAGCGGACCCTTTGGACTATCTATCCACATAAAATGCTAATATATTGTTATATTAAAGTTTTGCATTATAAAACGGTTTTCCAAAGATCCCTTAAAAAACCGATTTTTAAAATATTTTTCAAAACATTTCTGTTTACAGAACAGTACTCTCAGGTGTCGACTTTCGAATGGTGAAAACGATCGGACTTCGTCTTATTTCATTTTTGAGTTATTTTTAAAATAGCCACCAGTCGTTTAATTTGAAATGGATAGTACCCTAGTGAATGTATTCAAGTGTGAGTACTCAAAAAGTACTCTGATAGAAAAACCGGACGAGTACTCATACGTACTCACTGAGTGAGTAACAAGTACTCTGAGTACGACTTTGTGTACTCATGCTTGGGTATTGTTGAGTACTCATACCACTTTCGGCAAAATACTCATGAGTATTGTTCATCGATATATTCATACAGAGGAGTGATCTCAGGTAGCCAGAGTAGAACTACAAGTCTAGTCATAGACAAGTCTATCTCTGACTATATAAAGAGAGACCAGTGAGAAAATAAGAATATAAATATTCTGTGTTTCTTCACTAAATTCTACATTCTTTATCAAAATAAAACGGTGAATGAATATTTCCTGAGTACTCACTGAGTAACAATACTCAGAAATTGTTAGTAGTACCAATATGAGTACTCATGGACGAATTATGAGTAAAGTCGTACTCACCGTATGAGTACTTTCACTAGGGTAGTTTATTCTCTTCCTGATGCTTTGCGTAAAGTATATGATGATTATCATCCGAATGACAGTTTGTCAAAGGTGCTTTATTACCAAGATAAAATGTCAAATATGATCGTGAACTATGTTACGGACGTTCAGGTAGTCTTCATATTATCAATCCTATCTGCAGTCGTCAACAAAATTATATTCACATATTTATATCGTATGCTATTGTTTGATTCACTGTCAATCAATTCAACAAATACGCAAATAAGCAAGAATCAGGAATACCGTCGAACCGAGAGGATTTCTCACAAAGACGATTACCAGACGCTTGAACGCGTGACACTAGGGCGCCGACATTTGGGCGCATGTACGACACCAGCATTTAGTAAGGGTGCATTTGTTAAAAGCATGATGCATAACGATAAAAAGATTTTTAAATAAACCTGGTACACTGTGAGAGCTTTTTCTGTATTATTTCACAACTCATATCCACTGTTTGTTTAATCTTCACCGATACTCACCCTGGACTTTGAAGCCCAAATGTCGGTGTCCTAGTGTCGCACACCCTAGATTTGGTATACCGTATATTCTTTCAAGTGAAAGACCGTTATTCCATCCGGGCACAAAGCAATATCATCACTTGAGTAAAAATTTCCATTACGCATTTCTTCCTTTTTTATGCTAGTATAATAAAAATGTTAACATCTTCAAGTTCAAATTTATTTTGCATAAGCAAGGACATCACAAAGAAAGTAAACGTTTAATAACTTATAACATCTGGTAAACAGAAGCCTCAGTGATACCTGTGTAACTAAAAATGCAATAAAGAACAAAATAAGAGACCATTCCCCAATGAACAAAAAGAAGAAAAAATAAATACAGCTAATTGTTTAAGTCAAACCTAATTCCTGTCGAAGCATCTTCTTAAAAACTTCGTAGCTATTCTGAATAGACATAAAAAACCTTCAAATATTATTTAATCGTTGGTAATAATATAATTAAAGAATGATTAAATTGTTTACTTCTTTTCGGGTGAATATCTACTATTTATAAAAATACATAATGATTGAATTTGATTTTTTAAGAAGAGTCTCCTAGATAATAGCAGACACTATTTGAACTGAAAACAAATGTTGAGTTTCTCTAATCTTACTCGTAAATCCAACATGTGTTAGTTTTTTCTCAAGTGAGAATGGACAGTGCTCAAGGTTGTAACCTGAATGTGAAGAATCTACTGCCAAAGTAAAATGCATTTTGCAAGATCTTATCACAAGACGCTGTAAGATTTACAGGATCATAATACAAGAATCATTGCCCTGGATATAACAGAATGTAACAAATTTATATTAGAAATTTATCAACGAAAATGTATAGTAAGGTAAAGCTTTTTTCAGGCAAACACTTAGCCAACTTTTCTTGGAGGTAAATCTGGTTCTATAGACTACTGAATGCTAATGTTTGTCCTTGCTGCACGTGACGAGGAAAGAAGATAAAATCATTAGATTTCCCTGCTAGGCATGCACGTAGTAATTGACTAAGGATTTTATATCTTTTCAAAAACCTGGCGTTTCATCAATTGCTTCGTTAAAAATTTTCCTACTGGATAAGAATGTAGAGCAAACATTTCTCTAAAAAATAAGAGGTTGGACAGCTCTGCATGATTTGTTTTAAAATTTCGGCAGCGATGCCTCCATAAGGGACTAATCGAGTGCTCGAGACTCGTTTACTACTCGATTATGTGTTCTTGAGGTATCGCTGCCGAAATCTCCAAACAAATCATGCAGAGCTGTCCAACTTCTCATTTTTTAGAGAAATGTTTGCTCTACATTCTTATCCAGTCGAAAAATTTTTAATGAAGCAATTGATGAAACGCTAGGTTTTTGAAAAAATATAAAATCCTTAGTCAATTACTCGGTGCATGCCTATTCTTTGCTCTTTCTGCTATAAAGATTAAAACTTTAGTTTCTTTAAATTCATTCGTTGGAACTAATCTGATAATTGAATTAATTAAGAATATAGCGATCTCTGGTGCTGTAGAGCAAACAAATGAATACAACAGCTGTATGTTAGATCATCTTCTCTCGTTCGTTGTTTCTCCCTTATTGAAGACAGTCGATATATCAGATTTCTCTCTTATATATCCTCTCTATTGATGAGAGAGAAATAATTTAGCGGTTAGTTATAGAATATAAAGATTTTCTTATTCTTCAGTTGTTTTTCTTCAGTGATAGAAATTACTACACAACAGGAAAATCGTTATTTTTAAAAAAAGACTATCTATCTCTATTGCATTGTTATTGTGTTGTTGTTGCATGTTCATGCATACGATCTATATACGAAAAAATCTAAAATGATTTTTATATTATCCATATATGTACTACAAAGAACAAAGAGACAGAGAGAGAGAGAGAGAGAGAGATTTGCATTACAGCGTAAAAACAGAGAACTAATAGTAGAAGTAGTAATTATTTACAAGAATTTTGGTCCATATGTTGTCAACTTCTTTATGTCATTTATTACCATCAATGTCCGATGACCACTTACTTTATCAAATGTTAAATGTGTGATAGTTTTCTTATCTTAATTATATCGATATAGTCGATATAGTGAGCAATGAAACACTATAAATATTCACAATCAATCAATATTATATGAGAGATAGGCTGCCGGAAGGTACGTCACTCAATCAATCAGAACACTATTTTGACGAGTATACTTTACAATCATATACAAACACTTAACAAAGAGAAGATGATGTGAGTCTGAGAGATAAATATATATGAGATTCTAAGACAAACTTCAGAAAGTATTACTGTTTGCCATTTAAATTTTTATTTACTTGCGAGCGTAGATTGTAGAGTTTGTAAAATGAACATGATCAATGATTAGTCGAAAATGACTCTTTTTTTCACTGTTCTCAGACTCACGAGTCGTTGCTTGCACATCAGACTCATTTTTCAAAATTTGTAGTTAAAAATTCATTAATAGACGGAAATGTCTTGAAATAATAAGTATAGCAATATAAACCAATGTAGATCTTTACGAATGTAAATTAAAAGAGAAACAAATCATCATAGAATAATGATTGTTATTTTGTTAATAGATCTTATGGAATATATTAAGTTTAAAAGAAGAACAATTAAATCTTTGCATGTAAATTTATGCTGTTAAAAATTTAGAAGAAGAGTAGTAGAAAAGGAAATAATTATTTCAGCAGTCCAAGTCACTATTCAATATAAATTCTCTCTCTCGGAAAGAAAGGTCAGTATGTTAATAAGATATTTATGTCGAATTGAAAAAGGGCTATGTAAATCTATCATAATCAAATGTTGGTATTTAGTTGGCAAATAATCCAGTGTAATTTTTTGAAAAAGATGAAAATGCACTTTGGTTTAAAATATTTGGGTATTTTATGTTAAAAAAAAAACACATATTTTTTTAGTGAAATAGATTTTTTGTATAAGACAATCTTTGTGGATTTTTCTGAATAGCAAAATCTTTTTTTAAAATTGCTTTTGACATTAAAAACTCTTTATGTGTAGTAAATACTAAATTATGCAGAAAGCTCTCCAAAAACGAGAGAAGAATGAGGAGAAAAATATACATATAGTAGTGCATAAAGACAGAAAAAATCTAAAAGTTTTTTTTTCCAAAAGTAACCAGCTAGTTCCATAAAGAATTAAAGTTGCACCATCACACATGAATGAACTGAGATCATTGATGGTTCCAAAACTTTATATTTTTCATGAATAACTTTCACTAATGGTGTTAGACAAAACTATTGTACACGGATACGAAATCCGTCTTCACTCAGCCTCACAAATTGGCTCAGTCTGACGGAATGCGAGTTTTCTACTTTTTTTTTTCTTCTATTTTATAAACTTTATTAGTTGGTGTTGCACTAGAATGCATGAAAAAGTCTAAATTTTTCTAAAATTTTATTTTCTTATGTATGAGATGATGTCAAACATACGTGACATCGAACAACAAACATTTGTTGTTATGTTTGTTTTTTTAGGGAATCACATTTACACGAATTAGCATTTTACACATTTGCCAATAATGTTCTGGCTGGAAAAGAAAAGTATGCACACTCTGTATCAACTCAAAGATTAAATTAGTCTCTCATAGGAAACAAAAAAAAAAAAACTCTGCCAAAAACCTAAAAAACAGAAATATCTCGAAGAAGAAAAAACAAAAAAAATTCATATTTAAGTCAAAACTATTATAAATATAAAATATTTATTAGAATGTGTTCTTCTTTCTTTAATGAAAATTGATCAATAGTAGAAAAGAAGAAGAAAAAACCATAAAAGAAAAATAAAATACACAGAGTTATTATGCGATGACTTTGATCTAATAGACAAAGACATGTTTGAACTAATGTTTTATATTTTTCTCTATTTTGTCCCCCTCCTACTCTGATGTTAGAAAAACACCAAACTAGACACGCAATCTAAATTAAATGACGATAGATACCCTGGAAATCGTCAATGAAAAAGTAACGTCTTAATATAGGTAAATAAAAAAGAAGAAAGGAAAAATTAAATTTTTTTTTTTTTTTTTTTTTTATTAATAATAAATCCAATTAGAATAGAAAAGTAAAAAATGAGAGAGAGACAGAGAGAGATATATTACCTTAGTAAAAAAATGATGAGGGTATGTGTGATAAATGTGTTTGATACTAAAAGATTGATTTCTCATCTGTTGATAGCGATATTTGTATAGACAGCAATATATCTATTATTGAGAATAAACAATAAACATATATCATCTAATTAACTAATGTTGGTATCTCATCACATAACTGTCGTTGTTAGATTTTCTATTATTTATTTTCATCACGCATATCTCTAGATGTATGCTGACTGACACGTAAAGAAGAGAGAAAGAGAAGAAGAAGAGACTACAATAAGTGATTTATGATTGTTTTAAGGTGTCACATTTTTCTTCATAGAACAAAAAAAAACAAAAAAAAAAAACAAACCCGACACCTGGTTCCAACATTTTTATGAGGTAAAAAAATGACATAAAATCATGTTTAACAGAAGACATCATCACCTGTCAATAAAAAAAAAGAGAGTATGGCTAATATGTATGACAAACAAACTAATTTTGACTTTATTTATATAGTATATTTTTTTTTTTTAGTATATAAAACTACTTATAAAAAATTATGTAGTTTTGTGTTAAATAATCATGAGATCCGATATTCGTCTGTAAGTATAGTAAAAAATTAAAAATTTTATTATAGTATTAACTATTTGTTTCTCTAATTTTATATTTTATAGTCCACCAGAATCAACACCATCATTTAAAATTCAAAATTGTAAAACATTAGCCTATATTGTTGGTACATTTATTTATTTGATTATTGGTGCAACAATATTTGATAAATTAGAATCAAAACAAGAAGATGTAAGACGAAATCATTATGAAAACAATATAACTGTATTTCAACAACAACATAATATGTCAGAATATGATTTTGATCGTTTAACATATATTATATTAAAAAATCATCAATATAAAAAAAAACAATGGCAATTTATTGGCTCATTTTATTATTCAACAGTTGTTTTAACATTAATTGGTTATGGTCATGCAACACCGGCAACATCATCCGGAAAAGCTGTAACAATAGGTAAAAACATACATTCATTAAATCAATTAATCATATTATTATAATAATTTAAATTTTCTTGTCTTTTTTTTTGTCTTTTTTTTTTGATTTTTTTCTATAGCCTATGCTTTAATTGGAATACCAATGTCACTGATTATGTTTCAATCGGTTGGTGAACGTTTAAATTCATTAATAACTTATTGTTTAAAACGTTTAAAACGTCGATTTAAAAAACGTGAACATGTTACCGATATGGAATTATTAACATGTGAAGCATTATTAAGTGTATTAACCGTATTAACTGGATCTTATATGTTTTATCTAAATGAAAAATGGTCTTATTTAAGTTCATTTTATTATTGTTTACTAACATTGTATGTATTTAAATTTTCAAAAAAAAACAACAAAAAAAAACAAACAAATTTGATATTTAAATTAAAATATCTATTTAGGACTACAATTGGTTTTGGTGATTTTGTTCCATTACAACAAAAAAATTATAATGAATATGCATGGGCATATATTATTTTTACTATTGGTTTTATTCTTACCGGTTTAACAATTCTTGCTTCATCTTCAAATTTACTTGTATTAAAAATGGTTGAAACAGATACAAATCGTATTAAAAATGAACGAAATTTAGCACAAGAACGACGTAAACAAGCTGTACGTGTTGTCGGTGATGTTATTAGTGCAAATGGACGTTTAATAGCACTCGAAGAAACACCATCTGAAAGTTTAACACAAATATCGGAAAGTATATCATTATGTTCGTGTACATGGAATCAACCATGTGCACAACGACAATGTTGCTGTTTTATATTGAGAAAACGTGGAAGACAAATGGAACAAACATATTCAAATTCATCACCAAAACAAAAACAACAATTTGGTGATATTTTAAATCGATTAACAAAAGAAGAATCATCAACTAATACATTAACGAGATCTTATTTAGCTCTAGATCAAATTCGAATACAAAAAAGAAATTCTATTTAAACTTTTATTTTCTTAAACGAATATTTTTCGTTTATGCAGTATGTAGTTAAGTGAAGGATCACAGCAATAATGTCGATATTTTACTCATATAAAGATAAGCATTTATGAACATTGACTAAACAAATTTATTATAAATATAAAATATTAGGGTATGGTAATTTCTAACATTGTTGATTCTAGCGGATATCGCGTGTAAATTTTTTCCAGTAATGGATGTCCATCTCATTATTTTTGCTTAGTAATGATACTTTTTGTATTTGAAGAAAAAAAAATGAGTGAAGAAACAGCATGAGACATCATTAAAAAATTTTCTTCTTTTTTTTTTTTTTTCTCTTGCAATCGGTTTAGTATCAGATATTTCTTTTGTCTATCTATGATTCAGTTCAAAAAACTTAACGTGTACTATTTTTTGAACGTGCTGTTTTTTATTTTATCTGATGAAAAGAAAATATTCTTCTCTTTGAACAAAGAAATTGTTTGCATCATTGTTAATGATTTTTTTCCAGACCACAAACTTCTAATGGGATTTAAATTCAATACATATCGTGCGTTTATATGATTACCCATTGAATGTATTATCTCTTTTTATTCGAATTTTACAGTTGAAGTTAAGTTAAAACACACAAAAAACTTCCGAATACATTTGCATGAATTAAATAAATAAAACTTTTTAATATTTTTAACATGTTAAAAATTGCTAAATCGTTCAAATCCGTGAATGATCTTCAATTTTCGTGGATAACAGGTTAATATGTATTAGAAATTTAACGATTGTGCATTGGGATTTGATATTTTAATAAGTGCCAACCAATTAGAAATGTAAACTCTATCAAAGTTTCTATTCGTTTTATTTTGTATAACAAACTTCTGTGTAAATATTGTGCCTTTTCTTACTTTTCACTTAGAAATGCTTAAAAAAATTTTCATTTCCTCTGCATTCTAAGTAAAGTTTCGAGAGATTGAAATAATGTTTCGGAGTCTCTCGGAAAATGAGACTTCGAGTTCTCGAAATAAGGAATCGAAAATAAGATTTCAATCTCCTGACAAGTCTATTTTGAATACTCGAAGTTTCAATCTCTAAAAAGTTTGGCGACGTCCTGGTTTTGTTTCTTTGCCTTCCTCGGCAGAAATTCATCAGTCTATACGTTTAGTAATGAGCCATAGTACTGTTATTCAGTAAAATAGTAATGTAGGCCGTTTTAACATCGAAGTATACAGGAATAAATGAAAATATCCTGATTAAGTTAATCAGACTAATTATTATAGTTAAACGTGCTCAAATCGGTATAAGCGTGTTCCATTCAAAAAAGAAAAAAAGAGAAAGAAAAAATTAATGCGTGTAAACTCTGTAATTATCCAAATTTTAAATAATTACGGTATTCAAATCTTTCAGGTTCGAACTTCATTATATAAAACATTGTGAAGCGTTGGAATCATCCATTAGATTTTATCACATGATGTACTGCAGTAGTTAGTATTTACCAAGTATATTCTGGAATAATTTTCACACAAAGGAATGATTTATTCTCTCAAATTCATATAGAGATAAGTATGATATTACGGTGTTGAAGATTGCATTTCATTATAGAGGGGCAAAATTAGTGAAATCATTTTAGTAATTCTGGCTCATATTTATTTCGAGTCTTTGTTCGATGTCTAATGTGAATCGAATTGCATCTATACACTTGCAAATTGAAAGCAATATAAAATTGTCAAAATGATTTTATTTGTCAATGTGACGATAAATAGAACGGAAAACTGTTCTTGTGTTTAAAAGAAATTTTTCAAAACCATCTGTTCCGTAGAAAGAAGAGTGGGAACATTTTCGCGCTGTATTTTCGCCTCTGGAACGTCTTCTATAAAAAAATACTACCATTTACATTAAACATATAAAGATTGGATTAGTATGAACTTTTTAATACAGGTAAACGTACTGATGGCTTGACCAGCTAACTCTACTATCGGTATGAAATCTTCTTACGTTTTTTGCATTTTATTTCTCTTATAATTTCCGAAAGGCGAGATGCCCAGAGTTCTGAAACGTCTCAGATTAAAGCAAAACGTGAAGTTTTTGAAGTGTCTCCGCACTCAACACGACTTTCGTTCAGAAAATATGCTAGAAATGTAAACACCTTTTGAACGAAAGTCGTGTTGACACCTCAACAGCTTCAGTTTTTCTTTAATCTGAGATATTTCAGAACTATGGGCATCTCGTCTTTCGGAAATTATAAGAGAAACAAAATGTAAAAACCGTAAGAGGATTTCATTCTGGTAGTAGAGTCAGCTGGTCAACCCGTTGACTAATACGGAAAAATCAAGTCCACCAAACTTTCTGTAACGGGTCTATTCAGAAAAAGCAAAGCATTTTCATTGATGTCAATGCATGACATAAAAGCTGTCGGTACAAAGAACAAAAAAACGAGAAAAAGAGCAGCCATTGGATTTTGATTGCAGCTGCTTTATACTTTTTCGATCGAAATAGAAAAGTTATTTTTATCCACTAAGTTCTTTTTTTTTGAGTAAAAAAGCTGCAAGAAAAAAGAATTATAAATTTCTTAGGCAAATACCTCAAGAGCGTGACAAGAAATACGAAAAAAGCCTTTCCCTAGGGAATATATTACAACCACTTGTTTTTTATATTCATTAAATTTACCGTCGAATGTCTCCCATCAATATTTTTTGTGCACTTGTTTGTATATTAAAAAACTAAACTAAGCGTTTGGTAGCCTGTAGAAAACTCGACTTTATGCATCAGATTTTCTACGTTAAAGTGTTTTGAATAATAAAGACTTTTCTTTGGTTATCAGTCACTTTTCTACTCAAAAATTCTGCTGTTATGCGCCGAATATCTTTCGTTGCCGCTAGTTTGCCGCTTTCGGTGAAATTCGTATAATTCGGTCAAAAGTTACGTTTTTGAGGTTTGGTTTGTTTTATTCTGATTAGAAATGATTGCTCTATTCAATTCCATGGTCAAACGCTGTATGTACCTGTTGTTTCCTACATGATTAGAAGAAATAGCCAAATTCGACCATTGTTTGAACCGTTTCGGAGTTGCTCAGTCTGGCTTAAACTGGCTAATTCACAACCCATGAGAAAGAATGTATCCGAAAGTTCAGAAAAAAGGCTTTTCCACATTTTAATACGCATTAATCGAAAGAAGAAAAGTGAATTGCTTGAGAGGATTTTCTACCGCATGTTTTAAAAGAAATTGAGCTCTGATTGACTGAGGGAACATGAGATAAAGGAACAAGAGTGAGAGTACCATTTCTTCTGGATCATCCGCTATGTAAATATATATACAGCAGAAGGTGAAAATCAATATTCTTTCTTTAATCTAGACTTAAACGTATGGTAAGCAATGCTAACTTTTGTTACGTTATTCATAAACATTTCTGCAGACGTGATTCGTTCATTAGTAGAAATTTACATTTCTGCGCAAATTTCGTTCATAAAAAATTCATCCCAAAACCAATTCTGCTGTATTCCTTTCACTTCCTAGTAAAATACTTTCGCATTTAACGACGTTAAACTATCAATCATCGCTCATCCTGATTCTTACGTGTGTGATAGCGTGTTTCACAAATACCGAAAATTGTCATATATTTATTTTTTGATAAGCAAAAGCTCAACGTGTAATAAAACTAATACTTGTATGATGATAATACAGCACTGGGGTTTAATCAAAACATTTTCAATGTATGAAGGAAATTATGGTATTTTTATTTTAAAATAACGGCCTGTCCGCAGGTAACACAATGACACATTTTCAGCAGCAATGTTTATCGTCTCACAGTTGTGAGCAGGAATAAAAGCAAATGTTGCATTATTTTATACATTTTGATAGCCCCTATAAGTGATGTAAAAGGGTTTGAGATACTACTTATCGTTCAAATACTACAGGGTTTACACGCTCGGTAACACAATGACCAAAATGGAAGTTCTTTTTAATGACCTTTGAAAAGTTATAATTTTCTCTAAATATCGTCAATATGAATGAAAATGTCAAATAGAACATTTTTAGTTATTACGCACGGCTATCGAAATTTTAATCAAAGATCTGATCGATAATGTACAGGTCAAAGTTATGTTAACGTGCGGACGCCCTTTTTATTGTCGCGCATAATTTTTTTTCAAGTGTACACTACAAAGAACAGTTATTTAAGGGTACTCTCTTCCTCTTTTTTCCATCTTGTTGTTAAATGTCGGAGCACACGTCCGATCATTTTATACCAGAGACAGAAGAGCGAAAAAGAAAATCGATTTATTTTTGCTCAGAATATTGTGACATGATCTTCCATGGATTTTCTGAAAAACTCCTGTTTTCATCCAGCTACATTATGATCCCTCGAAAAAATGGTCCAATCACGTCAAAATTTTCACCACAGATACTCTCGACCCTATCTCAGGTTCTAAATTTTTTTTTCGAAAAATGTTTTACTTCTTGAGATATACGAAAAATGCAGAAAATCACTGAGAAAAAAAAATTTAGAACCTAAGATAGGATCGGGAGTATCTGTGGTGAACATTTCGACTCGATTGAACCATTTTTTCGAGGGGTCTTAATGTGACTGGAGGAAAACAGGAGTTTTTCAGAAAACCCATAGAAGATCATGTCACAACATTCTGAGCAAAAATAAATCGATTTTCTTTTTCGCTCGTCTATCTCTGGTATAAAATGCACGGACGTGTGCTCCTTATTTGGCAACAAAGTGAAAAAAGAGGGGAGGGTACCCTTAAAGGATAAATATAACTCATTCACACATGTATTTTATGATGTGTGACAAAAACTTAGATGAACGTATCACTGATGTAAATATACAGATGACTTAAAGCAAAAAATCTACATAATTGAAGATCACTAATATTAAGACGCGTGATGGATGATCAAACTGGCAGTCATACAAAAGAATGCAAGTTGCTTTATGAAACTATATTATGAAGTTTTGACGACAACAAAACACCTCATGTTAAAAATACATTAGACTGTCATTTTTAAAATA